AAAATTATCTGTATTAATTTTCATCTTCTATTGATACCTCTATTTACCTCTTGTTCCCTATCCTTACTACATTTTTTTATTTTAGTTTTCTTTTTGTTAATGTTCATTCAGCATTTATTCCTCAACAAATAATCCATCTTTTCCAGAGAATGTTACAGGCCATTACATGTAATAAGTATGATATCTGCAAATTGGATTGTTTTAAAAAGTCTGCCATTAGGACTGCAAACTCCTACCTATGCATAAATATATTCAATAAAATTCTTGAAATAGTTTTTTCCAAAACCACACTCAACAAAACATTCTTTCATATAGAGATATTCACCTCTTATTGTATGTGGCTTCCAGAAAAACTATCACATAAGTTTTATTGAATATACAAGGAAAAGGAAATGAGTGAAAAAAAGAAACACTAGACAAATATTTTTATACAGAGTCATCACAGCTGAATTTTCTTTCTTAATTGCTTATGCTGTACATAAAGTTAAATTAACAGGCATGTGAGAACATGAGAAAATACAAGGAACAACAAATTTTTCATAGGAGTGTGAAAGTGCATTTAAAAAATTCAAGAGATGCAGAAGAAAAGGTTAAGAAAACCAATGACTTAAAAAAATAAAAAAGACATAAAAATCAGAAACTGAATCTAATTGGTTAAGTAGAACAGGAAGAAACTTTAAATAATTTTCTAAAGAATTTTAATTGAGTCACTAAAATTTGATTTTTGAAAAAGTTTTAACTATTTTGAATACCAGAAATGATTTCTTTTCTGCTTGAATTCTGTTTTTTTTTTTTTCTTTTTATAAAGACAAAATCTTACTATTTGATAAACACTAAACTTAATTGTGTTAAAAACTGTTTTCAAAGTTTGTTTTAAGTTGTAGAAATTGGACATAATATAAATTTATTTTACTGTTTAAAATAAATATATTCTATTTTTAAAAACTGTTTTTATGAAACAAGAAATAAAAATTCTTATAAAATTATTAGAATAATTTAATAATTTCAAACAAGCTCAGAATGTCAATTTAATTTTGAAAATTAACTATTGTTGTTAAATTAACTAATATAAATAATATAACTAATTAAAAATAAATTAGAAATATTGTACAAGGATGGCTCAACAGCTATGACATCAATGTTAGATGAATCCAAAATGATTTATCTTGTATTTACAAAAACTATATATATCTCTAAAAAAATTATTCAATGCTGTACTAGTTCTCCAAAATTTTGTTTTTTGATACAATGCCAAAAATATCTAAGCATAAATTAATCATCATATATTAGATCTTTTTGGTTGAAATTTTTCCAATACATTTTAGCATTTTATTTTGTATTAAAGAGCAATTTCTTTAATAAATGAAACATTTTTCTCTCAAATTTATATCTTAAATTCCATATTTCAACCTTTCTTATATCTATTATTATTAGTATTTAAACATTAATATCATTTTTAAATATTTTCTTACAGTATTTGAAAAAACAAATTATTATTCAAAAGTATTTGTGACATAAATAAATAAACATGTGACAAATGTTATAAATAAATAAAATCATTAAAAACATTATCAAATCATAACAAGATTTTTTTAAACTAATAAGAATTCAGAATTCACTTATTGACTTAGGTGAAATACAATAGACTGTAGAACTCATTAACTTTATAAACTTGGAGATATAATACAGCTAAAAATAATAAGTAAAATGTTTATGTAATTCTTCCAACTTTATTGATCTTACTAAGTTTTAATTAATAAATGAAATCATTATAAATAAAAGTGTTCCATGCTTTAGGAAAACAGTTTTGCTCTACAGACATTTCTCCTATTTTTTTCAACCAGATTTATTTGCATAATTTCCTTAGCATATACAGTTTTCTGCATTTTTTAAGATCAAGATGAAAATTCCAGTAAAATCCTAATACTTTCAGGTGTACAGCACATTCTCAGGGATACTTTTTCCATTTAGTAAAGCCATCAATTCATCAAATCAACAAATATTATTTTAATAAAGATCAATAAATAATATTTAATGACAGTTAACGAAAAATAAATTGCAAACTTATAATTATATCTAGTAACATCATTTATAAGTGTATAAATGATATTGCTAAATAAAATTCATAAATGTATAAGTAAAATTTCAAATTATATTTAGTAACTAGCAGATAAGCCCAGTGTTGCTTGGGCAAAAGTAACGACAGCGAAGATTAAAATTATTATGTTATAGTCAACCTTACCCGTTTTCACAAAATGCAAGAATTAGGTCCCCCTGTTTCCGGTCTAAAAATATGTTCAATTTCCCGTAAAACGAAAAAACTGCATCTGCATTTTGCACGTTGCTTTCTCTTAACAATTCCATTGTTACGTAACACTTCCATTGTTAAAACTTTCATTGTTGACACTTCCATTCTTAACACTTCCATTGTTGATACTTCCATTGTTAACACTGCCATTGTTATTTGACACTTCCACTGTTGAAACCTTAATCCTGTCTCTCTCCCAGGGGGGTGGAATTTCGAAAAATCCCTTCCTAGTGTGCATTTTCGTGACATACCCTAACTGTGTACCAAATTTCAACTTTCAACTCCTAACCATTTGGACTCTGCACTTATTATTATTATTATCATTATCAACTCATCTTGATTATATATATAGATTTGATTTGTAAAATTATTTCTGAATAATTACAAATTTGATAAATTCATATATAATACTATTCTATTCTACACTAAAAACAGAAGATTAGAGAAAAAATATATTATGGAAATATTTCAATTTTGCATTAGAATTATTTTAACCATATTTTACTAGAATAACTCTTACAATTTTTCTTTTAAAATCAGTCATAAACATAAAAGATAATAACATAAAGGAGTTAAATATATTTATTTCTTAAATATTTTCTACTCTTTATTGATAATTTCAAAATAAATTTCAAATAATCAATGACAACTAATATCTAGAATAGAAATTTAAAACTTAATATAATTAATAAAAATTTCTTTAATGTTTATATAATAGTTTTTCCAACAGATTAATCAATTTTTATCTCATAAAACCAAATAAAAGTTCTTTGCCAGAAAGGCCTAGTTTTCTATTCATCCAAATATTCATTAATCTTTTGTAAGGCTCTAGGATCTAAGTTTCTATTTTAAGGATCTAGATTCAAGGATCTAGATTTTTATTTTATAGTCTACTATTAATCAAGATTTCTTCATTGTTCTCTAGACTGATTAATAAATCTTTTTTCGGTTTCTGTTTAAATTAAAAAAAAGAAAGTTCTGTTTTAAATATTAGTTTATAGTAAAAGTTTAATAGATTCAAAATTTAAAATAAATAAATATATTAAATGCTTTTTATAATACTTTTTATGTTTGAATCAATGTTTAAAAGTAAAACAAGAATCAGATATATTCTTCTTAGTCTGGAATAAGCTTGCCAACTTCTGAAATTGATTCTGAGAGTTTTCCATTCCAGGAGTAAAAAATTTTGGGAGATTTGACATTTTTACTCTCAGCAATATCAAAATGCTGTTGCTTATTCTTTAAATTCTTTAGTCTGTTTTAATATATTCCCCAAAAATTGATTGTCTTGTTGAGTAAATGTGGGAATAGGCCGCAATTCAGAAGTCAGAAAATTTAAAAATTTTTGCCAAATTTCAGAGTCTCCAGGAAAATCAGAATTGGTAACCCTAGTCTGAAAGCATTAAATATATAAATACAACTATAATGTTTGGTGCATGTTAGATTCACAACCTATGTATCTTTTTTTTATTTGCATATACAGTATATATATTTTTTATTATTCTGATAATATGTTATGTTTTTGCTTATTTCTGGTTTCAACACTTTATAACTTTTAAAACTTCACATAATTCTTCCTTTCTAAACTTGATCTAAACATTTGTTTGGATGTAATTAATTTGTTAGACAAAAGGCTGACAAGAGGAAGCAATAGATACAAATTAATTGATCTTGAAACAATACAGATAACCAATAAAAATAATAATAATTTATCATAACTTTAAAATTCATCAATTTTCATAATTTTTATAAGTTTTAAATATCAGAAAAGCATTTCTACTATATTTAATAGAAAAAGAACATAGATTAGGGTCAAATCTATCTGTTGTTGAGGATGCTGATTAAACTAATTTTAATGTGTTGGAATATCTGAAGACAACTTAAATACAATGAAAATATTTGCATAATAAATAATCTCTGGCTTTACAAGGCAACATATATTATTATTTTTAATAATTTTTAGGCCAGTTTAGACAAGTTTTGTTAAAATGAAGATGTATATTTGTTATGGATTTACTAAACATTTTGATTATTTATTTCATCATATGAGCTACTACATAATCAACATCACAAAAATTGGGTATACTTAATAAACAAGGCATTAGACTGAAGATGCCTATTTAACATGGTCAAAAACATTTTTCTCTTAATTTTGTGCTGGAAATTGATTTCATTTGCCCTGTTTAAACTACTACGGTGAATTCTTGCCAATCCAAAATAATTGCTATATGGAATTGTTTGTGGCAGGGGTGTTACATATGAAAAACAATATGTCAGTAAGGGCTACAGACAAATATATATATATAATTTTTGTACTAGGCTATGTTTGTTACATATTATATTATTAATACACATTAATTTTGTAAATTTGTCATAATTTTAAAAAATAATTTGCAATTTCTTTTTGTTTTTAACATGAACATTTAGAATAAAAACATATACACAAATGATTAAGATTAACTATAGTTCAAATTAATGAGATAATACTCTACTTTAATATTATAAAAGTTTTATTATTTACTATAAAATTTTAAAACTGAGTTTTCACATAAACATTAGAATATTTACAAAATTACATTTAAGTATAAAGGAAAACTACAGGTACTTGAAATTATTAAGATGTTAGTTTAAATAAAAAATAAATATTCATTAATCTCCTTTCATAAAATATCATTATTAGATATATATCGGATTTATTATATACATACAAAATGAGAAAATAATACCTGTGATTAAAACCATTCAACGTTAACACGTGGTCAACTTTAACATTTTCAACACGATTTTAACAATTTAGAATCAGTATTGATACTAATAATAAATCAAAAACAATAAGATTATATTACCTGATGCCTTTCCTTGTGCAATCGTTGCCTAGATTTTGAAATTTTCGTCAAAGAAGACATTTTCTTGCTTGACTTAGTCTTCTACATTCGATGCAGCCATCTTCGTTACGTCACTTCCCTCTAGATCTTGTTACTAATTTCCGCCGTTCCGTGCCGCCATCTATCGTTAAAGAAAAATAAGCGAAGGAGGATGTAAATGCTAATTTCGAAAATGTTTGTGATTTTTTTTCATCTACCTCAATGTAATTAAAAGATTACTTAATCGTGATTAGTGACGTTGGAGTAAAAGGCGAATGCGATTGGTGGTAATGCTTTATGATCCATCAGCAAGTCAAGCGCAACATAAGTTAACACACCTGCGCGCAAAAATGATTAAAATTCAGCAAATTACAGATGTATTCAAAAGCACCAATTAAATAACTATAAAAATTGATATCGTGATGAATTTTTTAAAGTTTTTTTTTTTTAATTTTTCCACTGGTGTAATAATTATACAGCGGATCAAATCATAATGCTATTTAAAATTCATTTGATGGAATCTTAATAAGCCACTTCCTTTTGAAAATTGACGAAGAAGAACAAGAAATCTTTCTTTCTTGCTCTTTTTTTAAAATTATATGTATGTATATATAAACACATACATATATACATACATACATATTGATATATATCTTGATCGAAATATTGAATGGACACAAATGAAAAAAAAATTATCAAAATTTGTTTTGTTTACACGATAAAAAGAAAAGAAAATTGTTAAATCTTATTAAAACTTAATCTTGTTATTTTGTCAATGTTTGAAGAATAATTAAGATTCATTTTCAAATGTTGTCATTTAAAAGTTTAGTTAAAAATTTTCACTGGAAACCTTCAAAAAAAAACTCTTTTTTTAATAAGCTTTATCAATTTTTCTGTGAAATTTAACTGATTAATGAATAAATAAATAGTTTTAAATGATTTTTTTATATATATATTTTTAAATTAGTTTAAATTAGCGTAAATTATCCAATTAAGCAAATTTGAAATCTGTATTTAAGATTTATGACTTTTGAATGATAAATAGCTCAAAGAATAGTTTATATTAATTTTATATTTAAAATATACTGTATATATTACAATCATAATAAAACTAATAGGTATGTAGTGCTTAAAGTATTTAACGTAAATAGCACCATAACAATTTCTATGTTTTATGCATAACTTTTATGTAGGGGGGAAAAATGCATTATTTTTATGGAGTAGAAGCTATAAATTTTGACATTTCTCGTGTCTGTAAATAAAAATCTATTCAAATTGAACTACTTTAACCGTACAAATACATGGAGAGAGAGAGGGGAAAAGTTCAACTTATTTCAACAACATTATAAAAATTCCCCGAATGCGGTTTAAAACATGATTGGTAGTATAAAAATCATACTTAAAATCGCTATTTTTGAGAATGATATGCTTAAGATTGGCATTTATTTTTGTATAGACTATGATATTTTCCTCTTTACACACGAGATGGCAGCATACATCCTAAAAATTAAGAAGTAGCCCCTTTATGTGAGATATACCAGATTAGATAAGTATACACTACGATATTTTATATATTAGTTTTAATGGTTAAAAACGCATACGTCTCCTAAGAAAAACGATCGGTAATGGTGATAGATTAATAGCGTTGGAATTAAGTTGTTATATCTATCTAAATAGTCCTAGTTTTTCTCAATTGAAAATCCTGGCTTATCGCACATCTGTGTCTACAACCATAACTTCCTGGAAACTACCGCCAAACAATGTTTCATTCTACTAACTTAGAATACCTAAACTGCCACGCCCAAGCAAGGAAATTCATCAGTCATCGTAAATCAAAATTTAGTCTGCAAAGAATTATTGCATGCACCGATTCAGATATTATTAACTTTCTCTTAACTAGAATATTTAATATTATCCAACTCGTACGATAATGTTCTATATTGACTCATTGATATAGATCTATGGGTTCTCTTAAATACATGTATTTTAAGAACGAAATCGATAATTTGGTATTAACTGGTAGACCTTTCGTGACACCTCCATTGTCATTCTTGAATTAAGTATCTAGGCAGATAATCATAAATCTTGCATATTGTATGCCTAGATTTAGATTCTTTTGTTATGCAGCCTATATCAAGCTTGTTTTAAAAGAATTTAATTTATGAATACCGTGTGTAATATACAGGCATATATTTCTATCTGAGAGTTTATAAAGGCCTACGTATTATGACAAGATAGTTGGATGGAATTTAGATCTTTCTGCTTCAGAATCGGTAATGTCTACAATGCAAACAGTCGTTATAAAATTTAAACGCTTCGAATTATTCTTTTTTTACTAAGCTTAGCCTATATAATATCTTTTAATAAGCTACCCTTTTACGTTAAAAATCTGTTAAATCAAGTTTCTGTCTTTAAATACTTTCATAACTGGAATGTAACCTTCCATAGAATTGTTCTTACTGTTCTGAAATCTTATATTTTTAATCAATTTAGACTATCATTCTGTAGTACTATAACTCTTACACGATTAGATTAATAAAGCTGATTTTCTAAGTTATTTAAATCAGTATAAACTAAATAAAATACATATCTCATACGTAGTTTAAACATAACTAAACACCTTCTAAATCTAACTCCAGGAATAAATTAAACACGTTTTTCTTTCGTAGCCTATTCAAAGATTGCCAAATCTGTATCTAAGTTGCTATATAAGTTTAATATTTAGTAAAAGAGTAAAATACATGTTTAAAAAACCTGAAAATAAGCTAATAATATGAGAAATATACATTTAGGCCTATATTATTTTATTAAACAAAAGTTAAATCTGCATTTATTAAACTTCTATTTGGATTAAAATAAATTATTTAAAGAAAAGCTAAATATTCTTATACAAAAAAATATCTAATTATATCGCTAATTAACATAATTCGATAATTGAAATAATCTACTTATGAGAAGCTTTCGAATTTATCAATATTCTCTCATAGATTATATGTAACGAGTCTTAAACCTGTGTAGATAAGTATTTTAATCTACTTCACGTAAGTTTTCGTAGATTAAATGACTTTTCAAACTTGTTTTGTCCGTGTTTATATTTCGAATAATTATAACTGTATTCAGAATTTCTAAATCTACATATTGACAATTTATCAGTGGTAATTTAATAGGTCTATTTGACAGAAGTTGAAACTAATAAGTATTGAGATAATTTATTAGAGGCATTCTTGTAAAGTGATAAACAAATATATAAATAATAAGATAAATGCAATAACATTAAATGGTTTACGTAATTTAAACTTCTTCTTTACTATGAATTTGTAGGCATAAGTCTATAACCTATGAAATTGTTCCTGAACTAATTTTAATATGGTAATGTAAGAATTCCTTCATCTCGCTTATAAATTCTATTAAGGCAGCCTAAAGAATGCAATTTTAGCATCATATTATAGATGCTAAAATTGCATATCACACATATTACAGACGAAATAACATAAAATAAAAGGAAGGAGAGAAGAAACTAAAAATAATTGTCAAATTACGTTTACTTTTAAAGGTTTAAAATATTACAAAATTTAAATATAAAAATAATTGATTTATGTCAATTAAGCTCATTTTAATGGTAATAAAGATTAAATTCCTGAATTAAACATTTTGTTTACATTATATTTTATCATAATTATTAAATTATGAATAATTTCTAGAGTAAATTTTCAGTGTAAATCCATTAGAGAGATCTCTTTTCCAAAAATAGAAATAATCATTTTACTAGTCTATTTTATTGTATTAATATTGAATTGTATTATAAATTTTATAGATAAATACTTATATTTTAAGAACAACGATCATTTAAATTTTAAAAAAGACGTATTATTCTAAAATATTTCTTACTCATTATAGATACAGAAGAGTAAACATCATTTTAGTAACCGATATTGAAAAACTGATGCGTTAATGATAGTAAACAAGCCGCTAATGCAAAAATAAGCCGATAAATGAAGTTTATTCATTATAAATTTGCATAGAATAGAAATTCTTGATTTGTATTCAAAGAGGAATTTTATTAAAGCAATAGTTGAGATTAATATCTTGGCCTTTGCCTTAACAAAATTATGAAAAGGGGAAAAAAGATAGAGAGAGAGAGAGACTATCTTATATTCCAACTATTGATATTCTGAATACAAAGTTTATTTTGCATGAATTTTTCATCAGACAAAATAGGATATTGATACTGAATAACTTTCAATGATGCGATCTTGGTAAGAGAAGAAAAAATAATAAGAAAACTTAATTTTTAAGTAAAAATGGATGAAAACGAAGGCTATATACACACATACATATCTTTATATATATATATATAAAGAAGCATTCTAGTTTAATGGATGAACTTAATTTTTAAAAAAAAATATTCGTGGGAATATTCTAATGCATTAGAAGTAGCTCATAAATAATTTAATATGTGAGCCGGGATCCAAAATATAAACAACTTTTGAACTGAGAAAATAAAATAATGAGTGAAGCCTAAAACCTATTGCTCTTTTGTAACTTCTTAAAACTTAATTTTCTGCCTTTTTTTTTTAATTACAAATATTCAATTAATCCGTTAAATTATTGTAAAATTTAAATGGTCGTTGAAAATATTATCGAATTTCTAGAATTTAAGTAAGTTTGAGAGTGGCATAAGTGAAGTTTAGCTTATTTTTTTGTGAAAATATCCTATAATAATGAAATTTTTATAATATTTTGACATTTTAAACAGTTGTAAATACTGAAAATTCATTATTTTTCGATAATATTAAAGGTTAATATTAAAATTTAAACGAAAATTCGTTTCAAAATAAGAAAATTTTAAAAGCCAATATAATAAATGAATTATTTTTTATACTTCATTTATGAATTCCTATAATTGTTTATTTCCAAGAAAAAATTTTGATAAATATTCGTTAAAAACATTAGTTTTGTTATATATTTTCTTTCTTTTTAAAACAGTGATTTATGCGAAATGACATTACGTAGACCTAAATTCACTTGGCTAGACGATATATGTAAAGCGGCCAGACAATTTAAACAAAATAAAAATTTTCGAATAAAAAAAAACCTAAGTGATAATTCTTATTGGTATAGAGAATAAATAGAGAATTTGCG